CGGAGGCTTAGTTAGGTAACCGAGGTCACACAGTAAGTGGCGGAGCTGTGACTTGAACTCTTCAGGTTTGTCTTGACGTCGGAACCTGCAGTCTTAACTTCTACTCTCAATTGATCAGATTGTTTATAATCCCATTTACAGATGAAGGAATGGAGGGTACAGAAAGGTGGCGTCGCTGGCCCAAGGTCATACGGCCAGCAGGTGGCAATCCTGGGACTTGAATCTGGGTCTGACATGTCACGTCCAGGCTCAGTGCTGCCCGTGGTCAATATCTAGGGTGGGCTGGATGGGCAGTAGCGACCTGGATGGACTGGAGCAAGAAACGAATCCTCTCGTTCTCAGAAGCTTGTGCTCCACCAGCAAAATCGCAACCAAGGCGAGTGGTATGGAGAACAGGGTGCCTGTGGCGCCACCAGAAAGCTCATGTTAGAACGACGTTCCTCATGGCGTTGTTCACTTTTGGGACCAGATAATTCATCGCTGAGGGGGGCTGTCCTGGCATCCTCAGCCACCACCCATGAGATGCCAGTAGTACCCTCCGCTCTCTGTTATGACAACCTAAATGTCTCCAAACATTGTCAAAAGTCCCCTGGAGGTCAAAAATTGCTCCTGATTAAGTAACTGCTGTAGTAGCGGGGTGAAGATGAGCGTCGCCCCTATGTCTGCATCCTAACTTCCTGCCACGTAATAGCAATATAACCACCACACAGCAGACAGAGCTTCCATGACACTCTGTGCCGAGCACAGGTCTGAAATGCTCCATGCCCCCCATCACCGAATCCCTGAGCCAACCCAACGAGGCAAGTACTATTCTTAGACCTGTTTTACGGCCGAGGACGCCGAGGCACAGAGACACTTGTAACTCGCTTGTCTAAAGCTACAGTGCTTACTGGTCGAATGGAGGAACAAAACTTTGTGGGGTCTGCACTCTGAACACGACACTGCTGCTCCTTGGGCACGAAACGCCACACCCGACCGAATTCCCTGATTTGCTTTGAAACTGTTGGAGCTGTGACGTATCCAACGCGAAATCCTCTGGCCTATCTATGAGTTGCTTTCTGGTGCCATAAAAGAATCAAAGTATGGACGATGAAAGATAAAAGAAGTTCGTAGATGGTTTGCGAGGACACTTTAAAATGTGTTTTTCCCATGAGCACATACTGTCTACCGCCCAGCACCCCGTATACCTAGGAGGGAGGTTCCACTTCACTCGTGTACCCACGTGGCCCAGAGAGGGATGTAACTTCTCCGAGGTCACACAGCAAGTGCGTCTCAGAGCCAAGCCTGTCTGCCTCCAGAGCTCTCGCTCTTCTCCACGGGCCACATTTAAGCAGCACTTAAATGACCACCGGGCTCAGAAGCAGCCACCCTGGCGAGCCCCACAGGGCCCGAGACTGCCCCGAAGGCACCGCTGGGTGGCCAGCTGGCCACTGACACCCGATCACTGGAGGACTCTGGGAGAAGGCAGCGCCTTAATGAACCCTCTGGTGCCAAGTGGACGAGGCCAGGAGACACAGCGGAGGCGAGAAGGAAGAGCGAATCGAACCGGCATTTATTTTTAAAATGATATTTCCACTAGATGAGCTAAGCAGAGGCCTGTGAGACAGAGCAGGTCTGTACTGATGGGTCGTAAGTGGAGCAGCTGGCATCCCAGTAATAACAGCCCAAGAAACCGGAGCAGCCCCCCCAGGGAGTGGAGAGGCTGGGGGCGCTGGGGGGATTATGATGAAGTGTCTTCAGTGGGCAAGGCCTCTGCCTGCCAGCCCCAGAGCATGACATAGGGGCACTTTTCGAGGGAGATGACGGCAGGGGAGCTGGTTTATTTTGGTGGAGTGGATCAGATGATGAGAGATTTTTATACCACAAAATGCTTTTAGAGCTTGGATCAAGCATAGGAAAATGTGACTTAAGTGCAAATAATAAAAAATAAAAAATAACCACACACACATATCTATATTCATCTACACACTTTGTAACTCGAGTAGCCCTATGACTCATACACACCTGGTGCCCGGTCTGAAGCCTCCCTTCACTGGGCCGGCCCGGAGCAGAAGGGACAACACATGCCTTGAGGTTCACAAAAAACCCACACAGCTGCAAGGAAACTGAGGCCCTGGAAGTGTGGAAGCTGCTAAGCAACGGAGGAAGCCCTGTGGCGAGCTCTGTGTGAGCCTGGTTTCCCAGTCCAGCGGCCTGTCCCCCACCATCTACCTCTGTCGAAGGTGCTGGTCACGGGTCCTCGGAGGAGGGAGAATCCTGGCACATTTGAGGGGGATGGCCTCGAAAGCGGAAAGACATCTCACGGCGCGTCTGACGTTGCCGCGGCCCCTGCTCTCGTTATTCTGCCTCTGGCCTGCTCACTCGTGTACCCGTGGGGCCCAGAGAGGGACACAACTTCTCCAAGGTCACACAGCAGGTGTCGCAGAGCCAAGCTTGTCTGCCTTCAGAGCTTTCGCTCTTCCCCACAGGCCACATTTAAGTGGCACTGAAGTGACTTCCCTGAGATGCTGACACGCTCATATGCACAGGTGGAGACTAGTGTGAGGTGAAGCAGGGTCGTGAGGAGAGGGGTCCTGGGGCGCTCTCGGGCCACGGGGCTCCTCCCGGATTTCGACATCTGGGTGGTCACAGAAGCCCAAGCACCGGGAGGCTATTACATCTGGACTCATCCGAGGAGATGATCAGTCATGGCCATCCCTCCGTCCCTCGTCCTAAGAAGGTCACGGTCCCCACATCTGAAGCACGTGGGGAAGTAAGTGCAGCCACGAGGTGGCACTGGATGGTATGTCTGTCTTTGGACTTGGGCCCTACAGTACAGGTGGCAAGTCGCAGGCTTCCTTTGTGACTCTTTGGCTGGTGGGGGACAAAAGGGACCAACCACACGTTAGGAGGCTGAAGCAGATTTCAAGAATGGACTAAGAAAGAGATGGTGACAAGGACAGTGACTCGGCAGTTCCCTGACCTGAGGAGACAGGCCCACGATGAATACCAATGAAGACAGAGCGAACGTGCCCATGACACTCAGTTCCCCCAGCCTGTTGCTTGGCACTCAGGAGAGCGAGGAGACCCGGGCCTCCGAGGGGCAGAGAGGCCGGGAGGCGCGACCATCCTCGGTGGACACCGGGGAGGTGGACTTGACCAGAGTGGGGTGAGGTCAGGACTGCGGAGTCCTCCGGGACCTTCCATGCTGTGGAGCGGAAAGAGCTAAGTGGCCTTTGGAAGCTGAGTGGCGGCTGCCACTTCCTCTGGCCGTGGGAGGGCCTTTCGGGGCCTTAGTCTTTTCATCTACGAAACGGGAAGAACGTCCCTACCCTGCCAGTTGTCGTACTGCAGGAAACGCCCCTGGACTTCCTAGCACTTAGAGGGTGCTCAGTAAACGGTCCCCAATCTTATCTTTCAGTTGATCAGAAGGCTCCGACCTAGCTGCTAAGATCTGAGATTTTCTAAATCTCTCTGAGACCCGCCCTAAGAAGAACAAATGTATTCCCCAGAGCAGGCCTTTGGGTCTCAAGTTCCATTCTCTACCTGGCTCTTTAAGCAGAGAAGTCAATTTATGGAAAGACAGGGTAGCGAAGGTGTCCCAGGCCCATAGACAGATTCTCTGCAGGTGCCATGCGCTCCGAGAGCCCTTCCTACAAACAAGGTGTTTCCTTAGGGAAGTGCCGAGAAGTGTTTGTAATGAAAAACGTCCGTGGGGACAAAGCACTTCGGCCAGAGGTGGTTCTCACTCTTTGGCCGGTCTGGGAGCGCCTCAAAGCTCCCCACTGCCCTGCCCAACCCCACTGCCTAAACTCTCGTTCACGTGACAGCCCAGGGGAGAGGGGACACGCAGGAGGCACTCAGGACACGTTCACTAAGTAAAGGAATGAGTGACCAAGTGAGGAAGACGAGTGGGGGGTGGGCGAGTCAGTGTGACAGTAAACAAGCGAACGAACAAATGAATGAATGAACGAATGAATGAATGGCTCGCTCGGGAAAGGAGCGTGATTCCACGCCCAAGGCAGGTGGCGAGGGTGACTCACTCCCAGGGGAGTTTGCCAGGAGCTGGGGGCATGGAGGAGACCCAGGAGGGCCGGGGCCCCTCTCAGTGTGTGCCCTTGCATCCCCCTAGCTGCCTGTGCCTCAGTTTCCCTACCTTTACGAAGGGGAAGGCTAATCCTCGCCCGAGGTCGGCTGTGGGACTGAAGGACAGTGTCCACGCCACCCTGGAACGCTTGGTCCCTCACCACTGCCATGCTTCGTGCCTCCTGACCAGGCCCCTCGACAGGGCGAATGAAGGAGCAGGGCCACGGGGCCAGGAAGGGCCACCACGGCCAGCACGTGCAACCCTACTCCGGTCAGCGGCCCCAGCTCCAGAAACGAGAACCAGGACGACTCGATGCCCAGGCCCCGGCGAGTCTGAGGGAGGCACATCACGCTGCTGTCGGCAGAGGTCGCCCATAATGCCCCTTTGTTCTTCGCAGGGTCCTCCTCCCTGCGGTTCGACCAGCTTCCTGCCCGCTTCCCAGAGCTACAACAAAGCTAGTCTGTCTACCTTGAAAAGAAGGGTGTGTGTGTGTGTGTGTGTGTGTGTATGTTTCCCTTGCATTTTAATTATAGCTTTCAATTCCTTATAATATGGAAAGGATGTGCTCCAGCCACACTGGCTGGAGAGCTGAACCCCTCTGTTGCCATACCGGCACTCACGCTTTCCCTGTCCGTTGCCATCCCCCCCAACCCCACACCATTTACTTCTCTGAAGTGTGTGATGAAGTGTGACAGACGTGCCATCGAGGGGTGGGAGGGGGGGGACTGTGGTCTCCGGAGTCAACACTTCTGGGGGCCGATCCCAGCTCTGCGACCCTGGCCGAGAAAGCCGGTTTACCTCTCTGAGCCTCGGTTTCTCTCATCTGTAAAATGGGGCCCACCGTACGGGCCGAGGTGACCTCCGTCTAGGTCTCGTAAGTGCCCGAGGAACTGACTGTTCATTCACTTTCCTCGTCCGGTCAGCAGCGCTTAAAGAGCTTGTGGAAAAGCACAGTGTGAGAAATAAATAATGAATCGGAGGCCCATCAGATGCTGGCGGCGGACAGACTGGAGCCGGGGATGAGAACATGGTGCCAGTGGCCGGCGGGGGTGGGGGCCGTCTCGGAGGGGAAGCCGAT